CGGGGTGGGCCCTTACATATTGTTTACTCCGAGGTTCTGTCATTTCTTATTGCATGCTTAGGGGTGCTTTGAGGTGCATGACAAATGCTGTAGTACATGAAAGGAAAATTGATCTAATATGAAACACACAGAGGAAGCAAGAATGGTCCTGATGGTGTGGCTCCTTCGCCAAGGACTCTGTGTGTGGTGCTCTGGGTTTCCTGCGAGGGGCAGGCCTCACAGATGGCAAGGGGCTATGAGGAGAGGAGACACCAATGAGGCATGCTTCTTGTCTCTCCTCTCCTTCTGAGTACCACAATCTTTAGCTCTGACTTGCGTGGACACTCCTACCCACTAAAGGCAGGGACAAGGCACTACCCCCTTTAAATGGATTATTTCCAGGTTGGCATCAATGTTTCTGTGCCTAGTTCAGATTCACTGTGGAAGCTGGCCCAGGAGACCCCTGGTCCTACTAGCATACTTGCCACTCTCAGTGGAAGGGACCGTGTCCAAAGCAATTCTTCACATGCCTTTTATTCATTCATTCATTCATTCAAGGTCTATTCTTTTTTGCCAGCTTTAACAGAGACTGTGCACAAAATATTAACCTCCATGCCAGGGAGAGCCAGGCCTGATGGTGCTAGTCCTGACCTTGATGAAGGCTCATACACCCTCCAAAATCCAGGGGCCAGCCTGCCACAGCTCTGCAGACACACGGAGACCCCCGGCCCAGTGTGAGCCTTCCTAAGGCAGTGTCCCTTCACCAAAGGCACCCTGAGCTTTTCAAAGCCCCTGTCTATCCTGAACACTCCAGCATTTTCTTCCTTGCCACATTTTCCTTCCTCTCTGACACACAGCACTCTGCTGTGGATTCCTGGTTACTGGAGGAGTTTGAGAAGACACTGTTTATTTTGAAGCACAGGCTTGGGAACTCAGAAGCGTCCAGGCGATTTCATTTGCCTCATTTCTTGGGCTCACTTGTCAACAGATTGGAATCACTCTGGCTACAGGCAGTTTTTTCAAGAAAGATCTTTCTCCTCTCCCACACCCACTCCCGCCTGGTGCCTTTGTTCTGCAGGAGGAAAATCTCACTTGGCTCTGCTTGAAAATTGTGACTCAAATCCTCTGAGCTCCTTGGCCCCGCTGAGTAGTAGCCGTGGTGTCTTCCTCTTATGGAGAAGTTCCCTACTCACTCACACAAGGCTACTTCTAAACACTCCTGGAAAACAAAATAAAAGGATGAGGTGTTTTTTTAATTATTGAAATAGATACAGGGATTTTTATTTATAATGTATGTATCCCACTGACTTTCTAAGTACCCATGTATACACACAAAAAAAATGTTTTTAATCTATATGCCAAAAAACAACTTTTAAAAATGTTGCAGACATATAGAGATCACCTATCCATGGATTTAGTCCCAACATGCCTGCAACAACCACAGCTGCACCATGCCAAACCCAGACGTACAGAACTCCACCCAGGGAGAGAGAGAGAGATCTTCCATCCACTGTTCAATCCTGAAATGGCCGCAATGGCCAGTGCTGCACCAAACTAATGCCAGGAACCAGGAGCCACTTCCAGGTCTCCCAAATGGGTGCAGAGTTCCAAGCACTTGGGCCATCTGCTGCTGCTTTCCCAGGTGCATTAGTAGAGAGCTAGATCAAAAGTGGAGTATCCAGGCTTTGAACCAGCACCCAGATGGGATGCCACCTTAGGATGGCAGCTTAACCCACTATGGCACAGCTCCCATACCACTCATGAATATTTTGAGTCCTCTCCCAAACCCCCAGTGCACACGCTCATGCAGATGCACACGCACTCCCAAGCATTTGTTTACAAGAGATCTCGCCAGACCTCCTTGTTTGTCTGAGCTGCAGCTCCCCTCACCTCCCTGCAGTTAATCTAATGTTGAAACAATAATTGTGGGAAGCAGACTGCACATGCTGTGGGTGGGGTACTGCCCTAGACTCTGTTAGGAAGACTGTACCTGGGAGTGCCCATGCTAGATTCACACACCTCGCCTAAGACACCCCTCCAGAGCTGTAGAAAGGCCACTATGGAACTGTATTTGTTTCTTTCACTGTCATTCATTTAAACCCAAAGAACCATGTGTGACTGGTGGCCATGGAATCAGGCCACACAAATCTAAGAGAGAGAGACAGCAAGGTGGCCCCTTGTTCTCCTCTACCCACAGGCTATAGAAACACACTGTTGACTGTTGAAAAATGTGCTGAAGAAAGCAAAGCAGGGTGAGGAACTGGGGAGGGGCCTCCCCGTGGGCGGCTACCAGGGAGCTCTGGGATGGAATGTTCTGGCAGGGCTCTGGGAAGGGAGCGATCCTTCTCTGAGCAGCTGGCGTGTGGCGAGTGAGGACAGAGGGAAGCCCAGACCAGAATCTGCCAGGGCCTGCAGGCAGTCCTAAAGGGATGGAGCGCACTCAGATGATATGGGCAGTAAGAGAACTGCTCCACACACTGCCTGGATGACAGCAGCTGCTTTGTATTGTAAAACCTCCCCCAGGAAAAATCCGGGCTGGAGATGACCAGGGTAGTGATGACGGGGTGCCCAGCCCAAGATGTGTTCTGACGACTGAGCCCACGGACCAGCCGGCATGGGCTGAACCAGGCCATACCCCTGTGGAGCCGGTGACATGGAGGAACCCTAAAGCAGGACAGACCATGTGTGAAAGATGCCATCAGGAGCCTAACATCCATGGGAAATGGCAGCTGGCCATGTCCACAAAGGACACAGTAGCCTGTGTCCCCAAAGCTGGCCCTGAGGAGCCTATCCCACTTTATCAGCTGATGGAGCTGATAAACACCCGTGTGGCTCATAACACGGCTGGGTTCAGGGTCTGCTGAACCTTACCCAGATTGGCCCCTCCGCAAGGAGCTGCCTCAGCTGGTAGGCCATCCTTCCAGGTGTCAGGTGCTTGCTGAACTCCTCTTCTAGCCTCTAGCTGCCCTCTCCTGCACACCTGCTGCCCACTGAGACACCCACATGGACTAGCCCACTCGCCCCCTAGACTGAGTCCTGTTCACTCACCCCCACCTCCTAATCAGCAAATGTTCTGCACTCCCAAAGCACTATTGTTTATGATAACTCAATCAAAATTCTGATAGGATTTAGCCTGCTGTGGATTCTGATTTCTGAGAACAGATGATCAAAATCACCAAGAACAGTTTAAAAAAAAATAATGGGGGCAACTCTATCTCATAGTAAAATGTACTCAAGAATACGAAATATTTTTAAAAGCAAGATGTAAGTGCAATAGCAAAATCAGATTCACAGATTCATTAGCCCAGAAATGACCCCAGTAGAAACAGAAATTCAGTGTGTGGGAGGAGGTATTTAACCTAGCAGTTGAGATGCCTGGTTCCTCTACCAGAGTGCCTGCGTTCAAACCCCAGCTCCTGCTCTAGATCCCAGCTTCCTGCTAATGCAGAAGTTGGGTGCAGGTGGAGATGCTCAAGTGATTAAACCTCTTTCACCCCACTGGAAGACGACTGAGTTCCTGGTTTTGGTCCAATCCAACCTCCAGTTCAGGCAATGGAAAGTGAACCAGTTGGCAGTTCTCTCCCTCCCTCAACACTGTCCCCCACTCTACTCTCTCCACCTCTCTTCCTTCTCCCTCCCTCCCTCTTTTTCATTCTGTCTCTCTCATCTTGGCTTTCAAATTAAACTTATTAAATGTTTTTAATTTGGTATAGAATAAAGGAAGTTTCTCATAAAATAGTGAGAAAAGGACACCGTTTTGTGTTATTGAGATCATTTGCAGCCCTCAACAAAAATGGTTAGGAATGTGTCTTACAGTTTAATTCTCCATCGATCAATATAAATTAGTCCTTTGGGTGGGGGGGAAGAGCAAAAGGGGTAGGGGTTGTGGCACAGCAGGTCAGGCTCCACTTGGGACCCCCCCACTCTCATATTGGAGCACCAATTGGAGTCCCAGCTTCTTTATTCCAATCCAACATGCTACTAATAAATCCTGGAAGTGGTGTTTGACGGCCCAGGCTTTGGCCAGCCCTGACTGTTGCAGCCATTTGGAGAATGAACCAGTAGATGGAAGATTCAACGTGGCAGGGTAATGTATTCTGCCACAATGCCTGCCCCACAGCCATGTTTCAAATCACCAATCTGCTCCATATCTATAAAAATTCAAGGGAAGTGAAATATTTGTAGTGATGAGTTCCTCCCCCCTTTTAGTGTTTTTCTGCATTGTTTAAAAGGATTATTTTGCCTTTATGGCAGGAAACAACTTGTTCATATCCTTTTTTATATATTTGTATTAGAACAGCAGATCAGATTTACAGAGAGAAAAATCTTCTATTCTCTGGTTCACTCCCCAAATGGTCACAATGGCTGCAATGGCCATAATGGCTAGAGATGAGCCGACCTGAAGCCAGGAGCCAGGAGCCTCCTCCAGGTCTCCACACAAGTGCAGGGTCCCAAGGCTTTGGACCATCCTCTACTGCTTTCCCAGGCCACAAGCAGGGAGCTGGTTGGGAAGTGCAGCATCTAGGAACAAAGACAGTGCCATAGGGATCCCAGTGCTGGCAAGGTGAGGATTTAGGCATTGAGCCATTATGCCAGACCCTCATATCCTTTTTCTAAGGTCCTTATAAGTCCTACCTGCACCCTAGATGAGCAGCTTTCCTCATAGGTACCATAAAGAAAAACCTCCTGCACATTCAGAAGCATTTCATCAGCCACCCTTCCCATTTGCAGAAGATCTTGGTGCCCGTTTATTCTTCTGTGTCCCTCTGTCTCTAAAGGTAGAGTGGCGATCCCATCTGTGTTCGTTTTGCTGTAGGCCTGTTTCTACTTTGGTTCTCAGAGACAGGAAGAGAAGAATGTGACCTGTGTAAACACTCCACTCTCACAGCCTCTGTGCTTAGGTACGCAAGTGTTTGATTTGGGTGCCAGTGAGAAGGGTCATAGGGGCAACTGAGAAAGACCTGTGTGGTCTTCTACATTGTGCAGAGGCACTGACCCCCATCTTTGTTCTTGTCCCACAGATCACGATGCTCCCTGATGTGTCTAGTGATTGGTGCAGTGAAAAGTTTCTGTGCTGAAATCATTCTGAAAACTCAGAGGAGGCTTCAGCAGTCAAGGGAAGCCAAAGCCATTGGCGGGGGGGGATAAAGCCCAAAGTCTTTTATCCAGGTTGTTCCAAGAGTCTCAGTGCCCTCTCTAAAGCAAAGCCATTGCACACCAGTGGGCAGCATGGCGAGCAAACGAAAATCAACAACTCCGTGCATGGTTAGGACATCACAAGTGGTGCAACAGGAGGTGCCCGAAGAAGCAGACAGGGCCAAAGAAAAAGGCATCGGCACGCCACAGCCTAACGCAGTCAAGGACAGCTGGGGAGCCGAACCTGACAACTCTTCCAAAGAAAATGAAGTGATCGAGGTGAAACCTGCAGGGGAAAACCAGTCCAAAAAGCTCCAAGGTGGTTATGAGTGCAAATACTGCCCCTACTCCACGCAGAACCTGAACGAATTCACAGAGCATGTGGACATGCAGCATCCCAATGTGATTCTCAACCCCCTCTACGTGTGTGCCGAATGTAACTTCACCACCAAAAAGTACGACTCCTTGTCAGACCACAACGCCAAGTTCCACCCTGGGGAGACCAACTTCAAGCTCAAGTTGATCAAGCGCAATAACCAAACTGTGTTAGAGCAGTCCATTGAAACCACCAACCATGTGGTGGCCATCACCACCAGCGGCCCCAGAGGCGGTGACATCGACCCTGGCATCCCAGTGAGTAAAACCCCAATCATGAAGCCAGGGAAGCCAAAAACAGACACCAAGAAGGTGCCCAAGAAACCCGAGGAAGCTACCCCCGAGTGCCAGGTGGAAGGGACTGCCCGCCTGGTAACAGACACCGCCGAGATTCTCTCGCGACTTGGAGGCGTGGAGCTCCTCCAAGACACGTTAGGACACGTCATGCCTTCTGTACAGCTGCCACCAAATATTAACCTTGTTCCCAAGGTCCCTGTCCCACTGAATACTACCAAATACAACTCGGCCCTGGACACAAACGCAACCATGATCAACTCCTTCAACAAGTTCCCCTACCCAACCCAGGCGGAGTTGTCCTGGCTCACAGCTGCCTCCAAGCACCCAGAAGAACATATCAGAATCTGGTTTGCCACCCAACGCTTAAAACATGGCATCAGCTGGTCCCCAGAGGAGGTGGAGGAGGCCCGGAAGAAGATGTTTAATGGCACCATCCAATCAGTTCCCCCAACAATCACTGTGCTACCTGCCCAGCTGGCCCCAACCAAAATGTCACAGCCCATCCTACAGACTGCTCTCCCGTGTCAGATCCTTGGCCAGACCAGCCTGGTGCTCACTCAGGTGACCAGTGGCTCCACAACTGTATCTTGCGCGCCCATCACATTGGCCGTGGCCGGAGTGACCAACCATGGCCAGAAGAGACCTTTGGTGACTCCCCAGGCTGCCCCTGAGCCCAAGCGTCCACACATCACCCAGGTGCCAGAGCCCCCACCCAAGGTTGCCACCTGCCCGCTCACCCCAGCCAGTGACCGCAAGAAGACAAAGGAGCAGATCGCACATCTGAAGGCCAGCTTTCTCCAGAGCCAGTTTCCCGATGATGCTGAAGTCTACCGGCTCATCGAGGTCACCGGCCTGGCCAGAAGCGAGATCAAGAAGTGGTTCAGTGACCACCGCTATCGGTGCCAGAGAGGCATCGTCCACATCACCAGCGAATCCCTTGCCAAAGACCAGCTGGCCCTCACAGCCTCCCGCCATGGTCGCACGTACCATGCCTACCCAGACTTTGCCCCCCAGAAGTTCAAAGAGAAAACGCAGGGTCAGGTTAAGATCCTGGAAGACAGCTTTTTGAAAAGCTCATTTCCTCCACAAGCAGAACTGGATCGGCTCAGGGTGGAGACCAAGCTGAGCAGGAGAGAGATTGACTCCTGGTTCTCTGAGAGGCGGAAGCTGCGGGACAGCATGGAACAAGCTGTCTTGGATTCCATGGGATCTGGCGCCAAAGGTCCGGATGTGGCAGCTCCCAATGGTGCCCTGTCTAGGCTGGAGCAACTCACCGGAGCCCAGTTAGCCAGCTCTTTGCCCAGCACTTCACCAGCCATGACACAAAGTCAAGAGCAGGTTCATCTCCTGAGGAGTACCTTTGCAAGAACCCAGTGGCCTACTCCCCAGGAGTATGACCAGCTAGCAGCCAAGACTGGCCTGGTCCGAACTGAGATTGTGCGTTGGTTCAAGGAGAACAGATGCTTGTTAAAAACTGGAACCTTGGAGTGGTTGGAGCAGTACCAGCCACAGCACGTGGTGGACGATCATGGCTATGATACTGTGGCAAGGAAAGCAGCAAAACCCAGAGCCGAGAGCCCAAAGAACGGGAGCGAGACGGGGCAGCAGTATTACAAGGACCCCAAAAAGCTCTGTGAAGAGGACCTGGAGAAGTTGCTACCGAGGGTAAAAGTGGGCAGTGAACCAGCGAAAGACTGTTTACCAGCCAAGCCCTCTGAGGCCGCCCTGGCAAGGTCTGAGGGCAACCGCCGGGATAGCCATGGCAGCAGGGAGAACGAAGAGTCAGGCGTGATGGACTATGTGGAGGTGACAGTGGGGGAAGAGGATGCCATCTCAGACAGGTTGGATGGCTGGAGTCACACCGCAGCTGAAGGAGCAGCAGAGCTGGCCGACTCGGACTCTGATGGTGCGCCAGCAGAGCCTGGCCAGGCCTAGACAGGTAATCCCACATGTGCCCCCTAAGACCCAGGGGAAAGGTTGCTTTCCTTGATTCTTATTGTGGGGTTAAAATATGTGTTGGGGACACAGTGGTGTTGGCACAGATGAATTTTTTTTAACTTTTTAATTGGTGGATTGATTTATATATAAGATTATAAATTTATAAAATATTTTATAATTAATCCATTTTTAACTGAAAACTATCCAGATAGATTAACAGTGGTCATGAACATGTATCCAATATGTCACTGACATATTAAGTATGTCACTACGTATCTCATATGCAAAACTTCTTAGAAGTAGACATGTGTCAGACTTTGGAATGGGATAGCTTGGGGCCAGGACATAAGATACAGCCTGAAATCCATTTGTGTTTTGCAGACATCAATTCCGTAGTCTGAAGGCAAATTCATACGGCACATTTAACAATTTCGTGTATGACATCATGTTGTGGGTTTTCCACATGTGGCTTCTTGACACTCCAAATAGGTTGGATTTTACAGCATTTTGGATTAAGGTTTTCCAACAGGGGAGGTTCAGCATCTGTTTGTCATTGCAAGGTGGTGCTGTGAAATATCTCTACCCAGTGCAGTGGTTTAAGGGAGTTCAGGGGTCTAGGCATTGCTGCCATTTCTCTTTATGGATAAGTCCCTTTTAAATATCAGAAAGAAAAATGGAGGCTGACAAGCTCATACCCTTGTTTGCAAGCCCATGATAAGAGTGATGACCCTGTTACCCGTTGTTTAGACTCCGGCCTTCAAGCCCCTCTATCCCTGCATCTCTTAGAGCAACTCATCTTCTGCTGGCCTTGCATTCCTTGCAATAAGACACAACTGTCAGAAGGCTATGTGCATGCTATCATCATTCTGTTGCCTCTTTCCTTGCCAGCTTTTATTAAAACCAAGTTCTCGTGTTTTCCAAGTCCGGTGGTCACCTGCCAGCCTTTGAAAATGCCTGCTGTTTGCCTTGTTGAGGCTAAAGGAAGAGTTGAGTCCCCCTCAACAACCCGTTTAAATCTGAAAGAGGATGGTGTCAGGAGGGCCAGGGAAGGGCGGTTACCATGGTTACTAATGGCTGTGTCATCCACATCATGGGAAGCGGTGCCAGTGCTTTCCCCAGAGGTCACTGCAAACCAAGGCCCGAGGACAGCAGCCTGCCCAGTGGTGGGGTGAGAAAAGGGAGTGGGGCCAGGAGGAGGGTACAGGAAGTGAAGGTCTTCCTGCAGCAGGAGGCTTCCAGGGCATCCTGCGCAAGGGAGGAGGAGATAGAAAAAAATTGACAGGATGGCCTTGCTTCACTAGAGATCACTTAAAAAGTCATCCTGAAAAATATTGAAATAAAGGCCAGAGCGTTCAGAATAGCTCTAAGTCCCCAAAGGGAGTCCTGCAAGATCCATGCCTGTGCATTAATGAGCTGAGACGACTGTGGCTGACACCTCACCCACCCCTGCACCTGGTCAACTAGTGCAATCCTCTGCCAGCCTTGTGTTAGCCATTCCAGCAGGTTCCAGCAGGTTCCAGAAGCTGTGTGATGAGCAAGCAGGCCCATAATGCCAATCAGAGATTCTCCCCCTACCTCACAGCAGGGTGCTCCCCGGACCCAAGCAGGTGGCTGCAGAGCTACCTTGGCTTCCTCCCTCTCTAGCCATTTTCCTGCCTTCTTAGAAGCTGCTACCCATCTAGCCCATGTATCCCTCATAGAAATGATGGAGCAAGTCGTTCGTACACCTGTGTGCTACTCACTTGCCGTGTTCCCCGACCCTGAATCTGCCCTGATCCACAACACCATCTACATGCTTGCTTTTTCCCTCCTACCCCAGTGTAGCCAGCAAGATCCCATTCCTTAGTCAACACTTTTCAACCCCTACTGTGTGTGCCAGATACCATGCTGGGCGGTAGGGATGATGAAGGGAAAGTGACAATCACATGAAGTCAGTGACGTTCGCATGGAACTCAGTTACACCATGAAGGGAGGTCCCTGCGCTTGGATGCCTGTAAGGTGCATACATGGTGACTGTGTGGGAGGCCCTACAGATGGTGGGCTTCCTGGAGGAAGGGACATGCAATTCAGAAGTGAAGTCCTGGAGAAGAGTTAGCCAGGGGGTCCAAACAAGATAGAGAAACATGAGGCAAGGTCCACAAGAGAGGCAAAGGTGGTGCCATTGAGGCACCATGTTTACCATGGCCAAAAAGCCTGGCTGGGGCACTCTGATGGGCGCTCAGATGAGCCATGTGTGCTGAATCTGACTCCAAAGATACTAAGCACCTCTTCACCACCAGTGAGCCCAGGGAGCTCCCGCCAAAGCAGCAGCCTGTTGGGGCCCCACTCCCCCAGGTCATATCACCCCTCCATTTGGAAATGACCATCCAGGTGTGCTGTGGCTTTACTGGCCCCTCTGAGGCCCCAAGGAAGGACAGTTGGGAGAAAGAAAACCAAACTCATGAACAGAAGTCCTGGGGAACAGGAGCAGCCAGAAAAGAAGGGGGAGGACCCTTCAGGTAGCTCCAGCCATGCACTTGGCCATGCCTCGTCTGCCTTCATTCTCCCAGAGGGGTGGGATTTTGCTTTCTGCTTTTGTTCTTGTTTTGTTTTCATTCTTTTTTATTTTACTTCATACCCTTCATTATTATTACCATCATCATTTTATGATACAGTTCCATAGGCTCCTGGCATTTCCCACACCCCTCCCCAAATTCCCTCCCCCCTCATTGAATTCCCCTATACTATTACTATACTATAGTTCTTCATAGACAGTCCATCATTGTGGGCATGGACAATGGCAGAGTCCAGCTTCCTATTGTCAAGATATAATAAACAGTTTCATTGGAGTCCATCTTTGGTCTGGAAGTAGAGATGCATACTACATTGTATCCTCACATCTGGACATGACAGTCTCCATTTCACAGTTACTATACATTCCTTTAAATGAAAAAATCACAATACAAAATCAGCAACAGGAAGAAAAATGGAAATTTACAATGCCATGAAGTTAAATAACATGCGACTAGAAATGACAGTCTCCATTACACAGGTACTATACATCCCCTTAAATGAAAAGCCACAAAACAAAATCAACAACAGGAAGAAAAAAGAAATTAACAACACCATGAAGTTAAATAACATGCTGCTGAATCACTGATGTGTCGCTGCAGAAATGAAAAAGAAAATCAAGAACCTTCTTGAAGAAAATGATGCTACTATATAATCTATTTGAAGAGATGAAACTTTAAAAAAATCAAAATCCATGAGATACAGTTTCCGCTGATCTTTGTTGGTGAAATATGTTCCTGTAGGCAACAAATAGATGGGTTTTGGGTTTTTTTAAATCCAGTTCACTAATCTATGACATTTGATTGATGAGTTTAAGCTATTTACATTCAGGGTTAATATGAACGGGTAGTAATTTGGTCCTGTCATTTTAGCAATGGGTTGTTCGTTGATTTAGTCTTCTGTTGTTATTTTACTGGGATGTTCTTCACATCTGCTTTTTCTCTGTGGAGAACATCTTTAAGTATCATTTGTAGGGCAGATTTGAAAGAGACATATTCTTTTAACTTTTCTTTACTGTGGAAGAATTTTATTTTATTTTCAAAGACAAAGGAAAATTTTGCTGGATATGTTATCCTGAATTTTTATCCGACAATTTTTTGCTTTTAGAATCTGGAATATGTCACTCCATTCTCTTCTTACCTGTAGAGTTTCCTGTGAGAGATCTCCTGTGAGTTTAATTGGCATTCCTTTATATGTCAATTGATTTTTTTTTTCATGAGCACATTTAAAGATCTTTTCCTTATGTTCGATTGAAGAGAGCTTGATGATCATGTGTCATGCTGAAGATCACTTTTGGTCAGGCCTATTGAGAGTTCTGTGCTCCTCCTGGATCTTGTTTCCCAAATCTTTCTCCAGATTAGGGAAGTTTTCCTTGATTATTTCATTGACTAAACCTTTAATCCCAGTTTCTCTTTCTGCACCTTCTGGGACTCCCATAACTCTTATATTTGGCTTTTTAATAGTGTCTTTCAATTCTTGAATACTTTTTTGGGCCTGATCCAGCTCTGCTTCCAGCTTTTTGTTTGTTTACCCCTGATGACAGGAAATATCTTCTAATTCTGAGATTCTTTCTTCTGCTTGCTTCGTTCTATTTTGGAGACTCCCCACTGCACTTTTGGTTTGCTCCACTGTATTCTTCATTTCTGATATATCAGCTTTCATTGGATTCACTGCTGTTATTTGCTGTGTAACAGATTCCTTAAATTCATTGAATGCCTGCTTTATGTACTTCTCATTGTTGATAAGAAGCTTTATAACAAGTATTTTAAATTCTGTATCCCCCATTTTCTCGATGTCTTCCTCAGTTAGCTCTGAGGTTGGCAAAGGGTTTTTCTCCTTTGCAGGGGAGTCTTCAGTAATATTCATTGTGCCACTATCTCTTTTGCTCTTGGTCATTGTACTTCAGGTTACCAGATTCTTCTCCTTGGGGCAAGGAGAAGTGTGCAAGGTTTCTAAGCCCTGTCACCCACAGGTCTACAGTTCGATTTTACTTATTGCAGTTGGTACCCAGTACTTTCTTTGCAGTCACTTGTGCCACTCCCTCCAGCGAGTTCCAGGTGTGGGTTCTTATGTTAGATTTCCACCATAATCTCCACAGCCCCAACTCCTGACTCGCCACTCTCCACCTCCTGTGATACCGTGCTGAGGCTGCACCATTGTCTGGACAACCTTTCTCCTACTTCCAGTTGGAGCAGGTCCCAGGGTTAGGGAGACACCAGGTGTCCTATACAGCTATGTTGTTGTTGGTGCTGATCTTTCCAGAACTTACTGGCTGTTAGGTCTAAGGGCCACACAGACCTATTTTGACCTGTACAATGCGAAAATCAGTATTACTTTCCTGTAGAACCACTGCAATGCACTGAACCCAGTGAGTTCGCTCCCAGCTCAGCACTGTTGTCCCTGCAGTCTTAAAGTTTTTCACACTGTACAAAATGACACCCAATTCAGCTC